GCCTGCCGTGCCCACCTGGCCTGGTGGATGGCCTCCATCCACTCCTTCCCATCCTGCTCCTCGTCGCAGCGCAGCTCCAGGGGCTTCTGGCCCTCGTGGCCGAAGAGCACGGTGAAGTAGTACTGCGGAGAGAGACGGACAGGGTTAGCGTGGGCCCAGCTCGGCGCCCCACCTGGAGCCCCTCCGTGGGCAGCGCTGTCCCCACACGGTGTCCCGGACGCATGGGCACGGCACAGCCAGTCCTCAGCCCAGAAGAGGCCATGGCCTGGCTGGCCACGTGTCTGCGGAGAGATCGGAGACCAGGGCTAGATCTGGCCACAGAGACAGCACAGTTCACCGGAGCTGTCTCCTTAGGAAGCTCCAAGGCGGAGGAAGCCCAGCGAGCCGAAGACTCCTCCCCGCTCCGTGCCCTGCTCATTCTCCATCCTCCATCTGCACCTGCCGTGTGGCCCGGCCAGGCCCTTCCTGCGGCCTCGGCCCGTCCCTCCCATTGCTCGAGCCTCCGTCTCCGCAGGAGACAGGGCACAGCCTCCAAGTCCCCCGTCACAGTACTTCAGAGGGCCACGTGAACAGACCACCGAATCCCTGCTGCCTCTCTGGCCGAGACGGGTCAGTTTCTTTCTGGTAGAGACATAATCTCAGTGATCGCTGGATGAAAGGTGTTCTGCTGAAGTGGGAAACGGGCTGAGATTCACCAGGAGTGACAAGATTTCTCTCATATAAGCTTTACTCATAATCACCGCAAACTGGAAACAACCCACACATCCTTTAATAGGTGAGAGGAATGCTACCGACAAAACAAAACAAACAAACAAGACCACTTCCAGCCAGTGGTCCATTAACCTCCCCAGGAGATGGGGTTTTCGGGGTCCGCCAACCTCACTTTACAAACCCCGCCCAGGCCGAGGACGCGTGGTGACCTGACGTCCAGGCCATGTGGAAAGGGACGCAGTGACCCAGCCCGTGTTCACCCAGGGAAGCTGGGGAGCCACAGGCGGCGCTGACGGGTGGCCTGGGACGGCGGATCTCAGCTCCAAGGGCCCGGCAGGCACAGACGGACCCAGCCGAGGCTGCAGTGCTGCTGCCTGGGGAGATCACAGCCAGCAGGAGAGGGCATCACAGGGGACACGCGAGGGACCGGCCGAGGTCGCGTGATGGAGAAGTGTGTGCCTCTACAGGAGCCGATCCACCTCGCCGGGGCCGCAGAGCACCACGGCTCCGATGGGGCCCCGGCGTCGGGCAGAGTCCTGGACACTGTCCTGCGGCCTCTACACTGTCCCTCTGCAGAGCCCTGGTCAGCGCCAGGACAGGGAGAAGCCCGACAGGGCCGCCCCTGCCCGTGTCTAGACCTGTGTGCTCCTTCCCTCTGCAGCCCGCACCCCGCTCCTCCGGTCTTCACTCAGACCCAGCCACCCAAGGAGAAGCCCCACAGTGACCCTCGCTTCCAGCTCCTCCAGCCCCATCCTCCGACTCCCCAGCTGTCCCCACCCAGATGACGCTGGCAGGCCTATCACTGGGGCCACACAGCGGGCTGTGGGGTACATGGCGGGGTTCAAGTTTCAATTTGTATTACAGTCAAAGACACGCTGCGTGAATCCCCTGACTCCTCCCCTCCCTTTAACACTCATCCCACCATCCCTGCCACTTCCTGCAGCGGCTCTGGAGTCCTCTTTCCTGAGGGTCTGTACTTGCACTGTCCTGGCTGCCTCTGTGACCTGAATGGATTCAAAATGCTGATACTTCACGGTCATTTTGACTTTGGGGAAGAGCCAGAAATCACCGGTTGCCAGATCTGGTGAATCAGATCCGGTGAGATGCGGTGTCATGTTTTTACACGGCTGCCTTTCCACTGGATGGCGCTTGGCAGCAGCATTCACTGTATTTCTGATCAAGCCAGCAGTTCTCTCACGGGCCGCAGAGCGGCCCATTTATGATCTCTCCCTGCCAGCCTGGCTGTGTGTACCCTGGACGACGGCATGGTGCCACCCACACAGAGCCCAACCGTGCTTCCTGAGTAGAGGATACCAGGGAGGGAGCAGGAGCCGAGATCGACCCACTGACCCTGCTCCACAGCCATCCGTGGCCAGTTCCACTACTACACACGTCCTGGATGTTTAGAAATTACAAGTAAATTGCTCTAAGAAAAACAAACACACTTGAAGCTGTCAAACACATCATTTTATCTTAAGCTGTGAAGAAACAGAACACTGTCATCTCCTGAGCCTCAGCAGGGCGAAGGAGCAGAACTGTGGGTGGGCAGCTGCCACAGAGGTCTCGTCTTCTGTGCACACTCCTGGGCTCACCGCGGCTCTGTGCAGCGTGTTTATTAGCACAGCGAAGTGCTGAAGTGTGTATATGCTTCACTGGTGGAGAAAGAAAATGTATACATGCTTCAGGAAAAGAAAATTAGGGCGATGGCTTTCAACAGAGGGTGTCACCCTTGAGGACGTTGTATATCGAAGAAAACCTGCTACACTGCCGGCCCACTCACCCTTGGACGTTGTATATCGAAGAAAACCTGCTACACTGCCGGCCCTTAGAGAAGGAACCGAAAACACGTGTGCAGTGATCTCAATGACCAAGGTTCCCCGAGCAGCAGTTCGCTGTGCTAATGGACATCTGGGAGCCCACGGCCACCACTCTGAGCACCTCTGTCACTGCAGAGGCCAAAGGTAACTTGTATTCTCTCATAACCTCAACAACTTTACCATTAAAATATTTATACAAGTTTTTCTTTTCCCATTTCTTGGTGGACTCTATATAAATACTTGAATATTCTGCCACCTTCAAAGAGGAGATCTTGTCCCACCAAAGAGCCTGGAGGACATTACACAAAATGCAACAAACCAAGCAGAAAGACAAATGCCACATGACTTTGCGGAGAATGTCGCCGTGGTCACCAGGCTGGAGGAGGGGACGAAGGGGAAGAGAGATGCTCCTAAGTCCTTCAGCCGCCAGGAGAGTAAGCCTCAGAGATCCACTGCTCAGAAGGAGGCTGTAATAAGGCAGGATGTACTGCGTATTGTTAAACTACTGGAAAAGTAGACCTTAAATGCTTTCACCACACACAGAGGAAATGAGGAGTCCGTGAGATGATGGATTTTGTTAATTAGGCCGATGTAAGGGTGCCGCCTCACAACCGTGTCAGAGCATCACACTGTATGATACCCATACGCAAGTATCACTGTCAGTAAGGAGACGTAACCGCGAGGTTCGGACCCAACACCAGAAAGATAAACTGACCAGATCAGGAAAGGCAAGCCTCAGGGTCAGGTCAGAATCCACCGTAACTCCAACGCGAATCTTCACTTGCAGGACTTCAGCTCCCCTCGAGGTGCGGCCGCTCCTCGTGCTCCTGTCCTTCCCAAGTGATCGCAGCTCACTTCAGCTCTGCTCCTTCAGCTCTGCAGGTTGGAGGCAAAGTCCTAGGAGCACAGGCCGTCTGGGGTGCGGCGTTACACGCTTCCAACACGTTCTCCGTCTCCACGTGGTCTGAGTCCTTCATGGCAACACGGATAGCGCATAACCCACAATAACTGTGTCTATGCGATCAAAACTACGGTGAATGCTGCTGCCGAGGGCCCATGGAAAGGCGGCTCGCGAAAACACAAGCTGCATCCTCACCCACCTTTCTCACGGACCTGGCACCGTGTGACTTCTTTCTGCCTCTTCCCCGAAGTCACAGTGAATGACCCTGAAAGGGAAACGTTTTGAAGCAATCCAAGACATCGAGGCAGCCGGGGCAGTGCCACTACAGGCCACAACAGCCCGGGCCCTCGGGCATAGGCACCTCACTCAGCTGCGCTTGGCGACCACAGCGAGACGGGCGGGCTTAGGGGTGCACAGCAGGCAGATGAGGGGCCATTCCTGGAGGGGCAGCAGCTCCTCTCCATGCTCTGTTAAATCCTCACGCAGGCTCCTGTCTCTTGTCCGATGCTTGTGATCAGCTGCGCCCCTCCCTTCTCCCTCCCGACTTCCTGCTGCTGACACTCTGCTCTCCTCCCCCCCACCGGGCTTCTCGGCCTGCTCACGGGTCCTGATGGTGCCGCTGGAGGGATGAACGGAGAGGGCAAGGCTGGAGCTCTGTTAGTCTCCGGGAGAGGGAGAGGAGGTATCAGTCTCACGCCTCAGGCCTGCTTCCGGATCCTTTGGTCCCTTCACTCAGCTCTAACCTGCACACGCTGTTAGCTTCGGAGAAAACCCTGTATACATGAAAAGGAACTTGTTCTCCACCCGGTTTACAAAGTCATCTTCTCAGATCTGGGTCACACACTAAGGCTCATTCCTGAGTGCTAAGGTGGACAACAGGTCATCCGGCTGCCTTGCCCTCGTCCGCAGTCCCCCCGGAGCTTCGGTGGACACGTAACCCCGCCGAGGTGACGAGGACTGCGACCGGTGGGACCACGCCAGGGTGCACAGTCAGAGGCTCTGGACTGGCCGATCAAGCCATGCACCCGGGTTCCTGCTTTATCTCAGAGCGTGTCTGTTGAAAAAGCCAGCTTGGCTCTCTCCCGGTGGACACCTGTGCAACCTCAGGACTCTTCATGAAGTCAGTCTCCAAGCAAGAGACCCTCGCCGAGGAAGCCTCTCTCAGCCGTGGACCACCCCGCTGGGGCCCTGGGCTGAGAAAGTCTTTGCTCTTCGTAAATCCCTGGGTCTATGGTACCGAGTTATAGCAACTGAACACGGACTGAGACATGCCTCCCCCCACGCTGAGGAGAAAGTCCCAAGGTGCTGGGAGCTTCCCCTCCCTCCTGCTCACTTCCACTACAACGGCTCAACTCAAGGCCTGGCTACACAGACTTTACACATGGCACCAGCATCAAAGCAGGCCGTGGGCTTGGGCAGCAGGAGACCCCAAGCAGAAAAGGAGACACCAGAGCACTGTTCTGCCCTGGGGGTGCAGTGTGACCTCCATTAGTTCCACCTTCCCTGATGTTGTATCTGGATATCCCCCAAGGCCTCATGAGCTCAAAGGTGGGGCTTTGGGAAGGTGACTGGATTATGGGGACTTACGGCTGACTTCCTATTAGGAAGGAGGGCCTGGCTTGAAGAGGCAGGTCACTGTGGGCTGACCTGGAAGTGTTTATCTCCCTTCCTGACTCCTCCCTTGACCTCTCTG